CTTTAAATATTGTTTAATTTTTTCATGCGTTTTATTAATGCGTGTATTTAATAGTGCGTAATTCCCTACTAATTTATCTATAGAGTCCTTGTTATATAAAAATCAGACTAAAATTTATTTATTTTTTATTTATTTATTTATTATACCTACATTTATTTTAGAGATTTGTCATTAATTTTGATTTCCTAAAAACTTCACTTAAGTCTTCAATTATCACTGTTATCAGACTTTTTTTTTCAACCGACCTTTTTTTCTTTAAATATTGTTTAATTTTTTCATGCGTTTTATTAATGCGAGTTATTAATGCGTGTATTTAATAGTGCGTAATTCCCTACTAATTTATCTATAGAGTCATTGTTATATAAAAATCAGACTAAAATTATTTTATTTTATTTATTTATTTATTATACCTACATTTATTTTAGAGATTTGTCATTGATTTTGATTTCCTGAAAACTTCATTTAAGTTTTCAACTGTCACTGTTATCGATAAATCAGACTTTTTTTTATATATCTATCTTACTTTTTTTAGCGATTTGAGATTGATAAGATTTAAACGATGAGCATAAATTACACCTCATTAGCCCTGGCTTTTAAAAACAAAATCTGTAGTGTTAATAAATATCTTCCAAAAAGTATTTTAAGATTTCCTTAAAACTTAAATAAAATTTTCAACTGTCATTGTTATCTATAAATCGGAAAATTTTTTTTTTTACTTTTTTTTAATGTATACCTATCTTACACTTTTTTTTCAGTGATTTGACGTTAATAAGATTTAAATAATGAGTATTAACTACATTTCATTAGTTTGTTTTTTTTTTTTTTCAAAGAAAAATGAATCTCTAGAGTTTAAAATGTCTTCCTAAAAATATTTTAAGCTTTCCTAAAAACTTCATTTACGTTTTCATCTGTCACTATTATATAAAAATCAGAATTTTTTTTATACCTATCTTACATTTAAAAGAATTGATAAGATTTGAATGATGAGTATAAATTACATTTTATTAGTTGTATTTTAAAGAAAAATTAATCTCTAATGTTAATAAAGATCTTCCTAAAAATATTGAAAGTTTTCCTAAAAATTTCATTTAAGTTTTTAACTGTTATTGTTATCTAAAAATCAGCAGTCATCGTTACCTAAAAGTCAGGTTTAAAAAAACTTAAGTCATATTTTATATCTACTTTACATTTTTCTTTGACATTAATAAGATTCCATAGTTCTATTTTTCACGTAAAACTAATCTTTAGAGTTATTAAAATACTTCAAGAAGGTATTTTTATTTCTTAAAAGTTCCATTTAGGTCAATATAACTAGAAAAATTTGATTAAAAAAGCCTTTAACCTTAAACCAAACTTTTTTTACAGAAGCAAGTAAATTTCATAAAAAATTCTTTAAATTTATTACGAAATATTTCCTCCTATTTAATTTAAATTATTTCGAACAAGTAAAAGTGTTGCGTTTTAAAATTTTAATGCACTGTGAGGAAAAAAACTTTTAAATTTGTATATAAAATGTTTAATGCTTCTAAGCTTCTAAGAGTTCAAATTACGGTAAATAAAAATTAATAATTAGCATTTCTTCACTTTTTCTAGAAATTTTATGGTAATTTCTCTAAAAACTTTATTATTTATTCATAGAAAGTTTCGTAAACTTGAAATAAACAGAGATATAAAGTCCTAATAAACGTTACGGAAGTAACTAGCTTAATTTTTTAAAAAAAAACAATCTAAATATTTTAAATACTTTCGAATCATTCAAACATAATTCTTAGGTGGAAATGCAAACATTTAACAAGGAAGAATTTTCGTTTGAAAAAAAATTATTTTTGCGCGCACCAGCTTTCAACTTAATTGCCAGTTGTATTGATAAAATTAAGTGAACTTTCCTCAAAGACTCTTTGGAAGAAAAAAAAAGGTTCCGGTAAAATACCTAGTACTCAGTGTAACTTCCAAGTCTTTTGCAAAAAAATATTTTCCAGCTAATGGAAAATTTACAAGGTACATTTTTCTTTAGTGGCAAGTGAAAATATTCGTTCGAATAACAGATCAGCAAATCTTAATCCAATTGCCCTAAACTGAGACTCAATCCATTAGAAGACTAGGGCAGTCATTTATAGTTCCTGGCATATCTTATGTTCTTCTTTTGGAACTACAGTTGGCTTTAATTCGATTTACCCTCCTCGAATCTTCTGTGATTAGCCACAACCTAATGGGTTAGGTACAGCTAGAGTAAGAAAAAAGAATTCTCCAAATGCATCAAAAAAGACACTTTATTTTCCAAATAGGGTTCCCATTCACAATAAATACTCCATTTGCAGACGGGTAAAATTCATCGTGGTAGAAGGGTATAAAGGACATTTATTCTAGAACACCGACAGTTATGGCACAAATTCGCACTTTTAGTAGTGTGAACGACTTATTTTAGCGCCATCTGCGTGATTTAAGATGAACCGTGGGCGAGTTGAATTGGAGTTTTCTCTAACATACCTGGCGTGGAAGTTGAATGGCGTTGAAATTGAGATGCTTGTAGATTTAAAATGTAATTTGAATCCATGAATTAACAAAGACTGTTGATATTATTCAAAAGTTCGGGTTTAAATTTAGCTAAATCAATTCTCTTTTCTCGTAGTTTAATTATTCAAACTGTGATTGAAATCTATAGTTTTGAAAAAGAGGTATAATGTGGTAAAGTTAAGATTTCTCACAGTAAATGACTTTAAAAGCTATATTTTGAAGGCTTTGCTTTCAAAGAATATAACGCTTTTAGCGAATAATATGTCATTTTTATTACTGTTGTAGTTTTGTAACAGTTATTCACAGCTCTTAGGTTAGAATTTATATATTCTTTAATCAGGTTATAGTCTTATTTATATATTTTTAGTCACTTAAAATGAGATTAAAAAAATTTCTTGAAAACTCATGACTCTTAAACAGTTATTCATAACTGTTAGGTTGTGATTTTTTATGTTCTTTAGTCAGCCTATAGCCTTATCATCTTTATCTTATTTATAAATTTTTTAATCATTAAAATGTGATTAGCAAAAATACTGGGGAACTCCTAGATTGCTCGAAGATAACAAAGAAGTGAAGAAGCAATTGCGTTAACATTTGAGAGTATGTCTTTCGGTAAAAATCACATGTTTAAATAATGTTATTTTTATAACTGTTGTAATTTGTAACAGACATTCGTGGCACTTAGGTTAGGATTTGTATAAACTTTATTGAGGCTATAGGCTTATTTGCATAGATTTTAGTAATTTAAAATTAGATAAAAAAAAATAGTGGAACACTCCTGACTCTTAAACAGTTATTCATAACTCTTAGGTTTGGATTAGTATATTCTTTAGTCAGCCTATGGTCTAATTTGTATGTCTTTTAAGAATCTGAAATTAGATTTTTAAAAAAATAACACTGGAGAACGCACGACTCTTACACAAATATTTAAACTCTTAGGTTAGGATTTCTTTATTTTTTAGTCCGTCTATAGCCTTATTTATATATTTTTTTGTTGCTTAACATGGAGTAAAAAAAAAAAAACTTAAGAACTCCCAGCTTGTTCGGAGATAACAAACAATTGAAGGAGCAAATTCCTCACATTCGAAAGTTGACGTCTCGGCAACTGTTCCATGGTGATATAATTATTAAAAATAACAAATTATCAAATATGAAAGTCTAATTTCTTCAAAAGTTCGTCCTCTTCGTAGAAATGAATTACTGAGAAAGAAAAACACGAACATTAAGAAAACATGAGCTACTAAATATTTGTGTTAATTAATTCTTATAAATAATAATGATCCAAAATAAAATGAAATAGAAATAAATGGAATAATAATGATTCAAAACAAAGCTTTTTAAGAAATTTTGTGACAAAAAAATTTGTCCTAATACAAAAAGCGAAACCTGAAGGAAATTAAGAACAATGAATTAATGATACTGATTGTCCTACATTTAATGCATTAATTAATCTTGAATAAAAAAATTAATAAACTTCCATTATGCTGCCTTTCTTTTTCTTAAGCTGAAGCAGCTTTTATTATCTAACCTACTTGACGTCGATGATCTTTCCAAATTTGTGGTTTGACAAAACTGTGTAACTTTTTCTGCTTACTTTTAACGCAGTAATTGCTTAAAGATGTGGTGAAAAACTCATCAGCTATATTTAGAGGAAGCCGAGAGCTACTGTTGTTTTATTTAGTTGCTAACTGAGATCGCTTACTTTATGCCGTCTGTTTATGTTACACCCATTTTCAAGTATCATAATATTTTCGAAGATATATATATATATATGTAACAAAATGCCTTCCTTCAAAGGCTAGATAATCCAAGAGACTTTGGCTAATTCAAATAGATAGGCATCTTATTAATTTATAAAAAAAAATTTTAACAGCTTGCGATTGATTTTTCCATGAATGACAAAGGTGGTTTCTCAAAGCTGATGGTTCTGTATTAATTTGTTATAATCATATCAATATATGGATATCAGTTTGACTTTTCGCAGAAATTAGATTAATTTCGTCATGACTTTAAAAGCGTCCCCATGAGATAATTGTAACAAAATGGCGCTTTGAATGAAGTTTATTACTATTACATATTAATTTGTTATAATCATATCAATATATGGATATCAGTTTGACTTTTCTCCGAAATTAGATTTATTTCGTCATGATTTTAAATGCGTCATCATTAGATAATTGTTGCAAAATGGAGTTTTGAATAAAGTTTGTTACTATTACATATTAATTTGTTATAATCAAATCAATATATGGATATCAATTAGACTTTTCGCAGAAATTAGATTAATTTCGTCATGACTTTAAATCCGTCACCATGAGATAATTGTAACAAAATGGCGTTTTGAATGAAGTTTGTTACTATTACATATTAATTTGTTATAATCATATCAGTATATGATTTTCAGTTTGACTTTATGAACAGATTAAAATATTTGTATGAATGAATTTATTCTAGAATTCTAATTTATTACATCGTATTTATTGTAGGGTTTGATTACTGAAAAATATAGTCTTCATCTTATTGAAGATATAGAAAACCTCCCTGTAGTTATAGACTCATTGTTGGTAAGTACTAAATTTTAATTAATATCTCATGTATTAAAAGAAATGCAGGTGTTTTGTAATGACTGCTCTTAATGTATATTTTTCGAATCCTTTTCCTTTTCAAAAATGAAGTAACACAAAATTCACATCAGAAGTCATAAATTTATAAAGTTGGGGAAAAATAAAAGAACTATCGAAGTATAACAACTCACTAGTAAGGAAGAAGAGATTGAAAAAGTCAAAACTTGTTTGGTTGCGGATGAAAACAGTTAAAAGATAATTGTTGGAAAACACTTCAAACTTTCCAAATAGGTTTAAATATTTTCAGCCCTGCCTTCTTCACTGGTGAAGAAGACAGAATTCGTCAATTTTCGATAGTACACACATTTATTTATTTTTAGGTATGAATATTAATCGCACTGTAAGAAATGGATTTTCAAATACCTCGAAACTTTCTTCATTTTTGACGAAGCCGTTTCCTAGTATATGCTCCCAGCAAAAATCTTGTCAAACTGAAGAAGTAACTATCGTCCTTCTTTCGAGGAAACTAATTTCGTCAAAATTAAAAAAATATTTCATCATTCTATTCTTTTTCCAAAAAAAAGAAACCTTGTGTTGCGTAATGTATTTAAATTCTCTAATAATTATTTTTAACGTGGGTACCATATAGGTGGCAAAACACAACAAGGTTTGATAGATTATATATATATATATACTTTTATTTGTAAAAAATGATTTTAGATAATTAATTTAATATTTACGAACAATTTTAATAAGTTATACGTTTCATTCTATGATTTATCAGAAGTTTTGAAACTATTTTTCCTTTGGGAGATTAAAATATAAAGCAATATTTGTAGTATTGTATCTGATAACTTCAGTAAATAAAACGGCAAGACGAGCTATTTGTAAATACTGTTTCAAAACCTTCCAAAAACTTTTTTTTTATTAAAATAACAAAACCTATTTGTTCTAGTCAAAGGCACGGTCTTATGACGAGATTTCGATTTTTAAAAACAATCTTATAAAATTGAATTTTTATTATTTAATCCCAAAAGATTTTTATTCCATAGAAGAGATAAATAAAATATCTTATTATAATAAAAATTGCGGAGTTATAATGAGATTAAATAAAAAAATTCCTTAGGAAATAAACAAATGGGATAAAATATAGTTATAGAAATTCCTCGAAAAGTTAGAACTTAAAATTCTTTTACAAAACAAAACACAAAAATGTTATTTTTAAATTTTCTTGTTGTGGATTTGAAATGGAAAGATTTGTATTTTAAATTCGAGTGTCTGATAACTACGTAGTTTAAATGCAGATAAAATATACTAAAGTTGGAAATAGTTAAACAAAAAGAGGTAGTATTTAAAAATTCGTTTTTTAAATTATTTGTCGAGCATTATTCAATTAATTTCTTTTAAATTTATTATGTTAATAAAAAAATTATTAATACTAGCATAATGCCAAGATTCCATTTAACCTATACTTCCGAGTCAATTTAGGATTCTTTTTTGTTTATTTCTCCTTTTTTTTTTTTTTTTTTTTTTTTTTTTTTTTTTTTTTTTTTTTTTTTTACAGTCCCTTCCCTCTCGTTCTTTGAAATTGAAACTCCATGTATGATAAAAATGATCAGCTCTGATGTCCTCCTTGGCTTGCGTTTAAATTTGTAGCTAGCAAAAATGAAAAATAAACACCGTGTAAACTAAATAAAGTTTGTACGTAAATAAAGTTTAGAACAATCCTAAACTTTGAGCCGTGGTGGCTCAGGGGATATAGCACTCGCCTCTCAATTAGGTGAGCCGGGTTCAAATCCCGGTAATGGCTGGTTGCTTCGAATTACGCACCCGGCTCAACAGTGCTGACGTAAAATAACCTAAATGGTAGACAGATTATGGGTTAGAGTTCTCTTGCCATCAGGCTAACCGTGGGAGGATTCCGTGGTTTTCCTCTCCATGTAACGCAAATGCGGGTTAGTTCCATCAAAAAGCCGTCCACGAAGGCAAATTTCTCCCAATACTTGATCCAGGAGTTCCCTTGTCTTCTGGATTAGGTTCAATGTTACGGAGTTGAACATTGGTACCCGTAAACTGAAAATTCGGACGGCTGCTCAACGAAGCTTATAAAATTCAAAACATTAAAAATTAAATGCTAAACCTGAAAAAATAATCTCATTTCAAGCGATTTTTTTTCCTTTAATTTGTCTAAAAAAAAGTGAATCTGGGGCAGCCGATGTCAAGACGTATTAGTTCTACTACTGCCACCCCCATTTTGATGGTCGAAAAAAAGATTTTTAATTCAGAAAAATTATGCTTTTGTGTAATTACTTAATACTCTGTAAAAAATGTTGGTGCATAGTTGCCACCATTTTTGGTAATCAGGTAAACTAAAATTTTCTGCTGTGCAGGTAGTCACATTTTTTATTTACCTTTTCACTATTATAGTTTTACTGATTCATTTTTTGTTTGTTCACTGATAACACGTTTTCGTGCGCATTAGAATCAATTTATGGCATCCCTGCAAAAACATTTCGTTTAAAATACAAGCACAGTTTTAGTAATACATTCGCACTAATTCTTTCAAACAATTGTTATTTTGTCAATTTCATATAATTTTTTGCACGATTTGCTGTTCCGTAATTAAAAATGCATTTAATTTACCTCGACACAAAAAATGGCGACAACTATGCACCAAAATTTTTTTCAGTGTAGTAAACACTAATTAATTAGAATATTTAAGGTTAACCTTTTAAACAATAAGCTTGATTCACCAAAATCCGATCATTAGAACGAAAGTTATTCAAGAAGTTATCCTTCTTTTCATCCTTCCACTCATTCAGGGACACTTAGAAAACAGTTTAATAGTTTTAGAAATAATTAGAACTCTTCATCGAAAAACTCTGTCGTTTTATGAAATAAATAATAACCTAATTTTATAACTTGAGATTTTGTTACAAATTTTCTGAACTATTACTTTTAGTCATCTAATATCAGCGAACCTTTATACTGATTAAGAAGATAATGTAAATTGTCATGAGTGGGAGCATCATTTTTGTGAAAATAAAAAGCGTTTTTGATCTAATTTTTTAATATTTGAAAATTTTCACCATTTCTGCGTTGTTAAATTTAGAAAAATATAAAGAATTATTAATTGTTTATAATTATTTTATAAAGTTGTTAAAGTATAATATACTCACCAAATTGGTGGTATTTTAAAAGGTTTAATAGCTTTTTAAATATTTGAGCTCTTTGTACATTTTAAAGTTCAAACAATTCTTTTAGGCATGATAGAAATTAATTGTATAGATTGAAATTTAACTATTGCCTAGAGTTTAAGTTAAAGTTGGAGTTAAGTTAGTTAAGTTAAAGTTAACTAGTGTTTCGTGAAAGATATTCGCGAAACTCCCTTAAATTAATGAAAAATTAGCTTTTTGGAAAATTTTAGGGCAAAAAATTATCAAGTTTCCGATAAAATTTATGCAATAATAGACCAATAATTGTAAAAAAGAAAAAACTGAAAGTGTAATAAAATATTTAAAACGTTCTGATATACTATCTTTAAGGGCTTAAATTATGATAAATTATAAAACAATGAAACACATGCCTAAAAACTTTTACTCAAATTCTAGTAATTTATAAACTATTTATAATAAAACGTTTTTTTAAAGTTCAGTTTTGTATAAATAAAAAGCGTTTTTTAACTAATATTTTTAATATTTGAAATTTTCTCTAACTCTGCAATATTAAATTCGTAAAAGTATGCAGAATTATTAATTGATTATAATATTTTTTATAAAGGATATAAAATCTCCTCATATTGGCGACATTTAAAAGGGTTCAATATATTTTTTCTAAATATTTGAGCCGTTTGTCCATTTTAAAGTTCAGACAATTCTTTTAAACCTGATAAAAATTTATAGTTCAGATCAAAATTAAAGTACTGCTTTGGGTTTAAGTTAAAGTTGAAGTTAACTCGGGTTTGGGGAAAGAAATTCGCGGAATTCCCTTAAACTACTTAAAAAATGAGAATCTTGCAAAATTTTAGAATAAGAAAGAATCAAGCTTTTCATGACGTATTATAAAATTTATACCGTAATATATCAATAATATAAAAAAGATAACAGTTGAAAGTGAGATAAATTACTTAGAATATTTAAAACACGTCGATACAATGCTATCTTTAAAGACTTAAATTATGATAAATTATAAAATAATGAAACACATGTCTAAAATCTTTTACGCAACGTCTAATAATTTATAAACTATTTACAAAAATACTATATAAAGATACATTTATGCTCTTCATTTATCAAATAAAAGTAAAAAGTGAGCCACCTAAACCAAAAAGTAGATACCGAAACTTACACCATAACATAAAAGTCACTCGAAATTGGCATGTTACTCACGTTTTGGTGATTGATTACGTAGAGTGCGTCTTATTTCATGTAACAATCACTTTTCTTTTTCTTTTCCCTTAGGCGAAAAGAATCAAATCTCGCCACAAAAAAAAAACTTTTTTTTTCGAAAGTAAAGAAAGCTTGAAACATTTTAACTCCTTTCTATTAACAGCTCTGGATTACCTTTGAAAGTTTATTAACAATATCCATGTTGCGCAAGCAAATTTTCTTGACTCTCAATTTTTAATTGAACTCAGTATTGGTCGCACACTTTGAATAACCCACCATGAATGGAAAGGAAATGAACCTCCAATGTATTCCCAATTCACTGAATATGGATGTGATTGCGAACATTAAAAGAAAAAAACGAGAGAAGCTTTATGTATGCTTGAGAAAAAAAAAAAGTTCCTTTCGTACTAATGAAGAGCTTCCTTTTCGATTCTTGCCGCCTAGTTAGTTGGAGGCTGAGTCTTTGAAGTCATTTAGGGCGGAACACTTAAATGAACTAAAAATACTTTTTCCATTTTTGTTACAGGATCCCAATTAAGAGAGGTACTTAAAAACGATAGTTTTTGGCATTCTATTTTGGTTTGTATGCAATAATAATATGCTGGTATGCGC